GTGCAATCGGAGCTGGAGGCGCCCTCATCTGTCTCCAGCCTGCTTCTCCGCTTGTGGAACCGATCGCGGAGCAGCGGGCGCCTTCCATCGAGGAGTTCGCTGCCCTGCTCCAGGAGTGCTCGGCGCTCGCCGAGCCAGGGGCGCTGCCGCAGCTGGTCCAGTCGCTCGCAGGCCAGCTGCTCGTGGAAGCGCTGCGCTGGCTTGTCGTCGGGCTCGCGCGCTGCGGGCGTCACCGCGCGGAGCTGCCTCAGCTGGTCGTGCCCGCGTCGCCTGACGCCCGTCCGGCGCCCTCGGCGCTGCTGGCTGGGAGCCGCGCCGACCTGCAGCCGAACGGGTCTGGAGGCTCTAAGTGGTTGAGTGCAAGGGGTTGTTCATCGAGTGCGCGGTCCACCTGCCGCTGCTGCATGCCGCGCTGTGGTGGGTGTCTCCCGAAGTCGGCCCCTTGATGCGGTCGTCGTCACGCACGGTAATTACGTGTGCGTTGATGAGCTGTGGCGCGGCAATTCTGACACCCGTGCCTGGACACGTTGTGCATTAGGTGGCGGGCTCCCACCGCCTGCTTCCGCTGGGTTCTCTGTCTACGAGTTCTTGGCGCGCCTCCCTTTCGCCTATCTCCTAGCGCTGTGACCCGCTGCTCTTACGCTTGTCGCCGAGCACGGCGCCAACCTGGCTGCCAGCGGGGATGCCACTCGCAGTGGTCGCCGCGGCGGCGCCAGCGGCAAGGCCAGGAGTCCTGGATCCGCGCTGGCCGCGCCAATGGCCCGTGGGTCTCCACGTCCAGCAGTTGCGGCGGCGGCTGGAGTGGATGCCGCCGTGGCCGCTCCTGCCCTGGCGGCTCTGGCGGCTGGGGCCCCTGCGCCCGTTGGCGCCGGCGCCGTTGCGGTCGCTGGGCATGGAGGCCTCTGCGCAGTTCTCTCAGGTGGGCTCGGCGTTGCGCCGGACGTCGCGGGCGACGACTTTCGTGCCGTGCCCGAATCTTACGACGTGGGAGGTCGGCGCCACAAGGAGTTCCGCGACGCTGTCAAGGCGATGCGCCAGCAGGCCTGGCCGTCAGGCCAGACCCGTGCACTGCCGGCTGGCGCGCGAACAGCACGCTGGGATCAGCTTGCCGCTCCGCTTGCCGCCTCGCGGACCCGTCGTGCTGCTGCATTCCAAGATGTTGAAAATCTTCCTGGCGGCGCTGTGCAACGACCAGCTGGGTGCCGCAGGTGCCGCTTCCCTCAAACTCATGCGCCGCCAAGTCCAGCTTTGCGAGGAGAGACTCAAGGCATGGATGTGTTGCTCGGCTCCTCTGCGTCGGGAGTGCAGCGTGCTTCTTCGCGGGTGTCCAGAGCGCGCGTGGCCATGGTCTGCCCGGCCCTCGCCGAGGGGATCTCCGTGCAGGTCGCCGCTGAGAGCGCAGTCGCGAAGGCGCGCCGCGAGGCGCGGGGGGTGGGGGCGGGGCGCTAGCCTGCCTTCCGCAATCCAAGCGCGGCGACGGCGGTCGGGGCGGCTGAGCGCTCGGACCGCGCGAAAGATCAAGGCCGCTGCCCGCGCCCTGGCCGCGCGCGGGGGCTCGCAGCGCGAGCTCCTCGCTCCTGGCCACCGGTGGCCAGTCGTCGGCGATGCCGCCGACCTCCCGGGCGGCCTTCAGTTTCAGCGGCTTCGCCGGCGGCTCCGGCGCAGCCTCGGGCTTGCTAGCGACGCCCCTGCGACGGGCCCGCTCAGCTGGGCGCGTCCGCGCGGGCGTCGCCGTCGCGCTCGGCGAGCCCCCCCCCCCGGTCGCGCCCCGCCGCGAGGGCCTGGCGTCCTAAGCCGAGACGGGCGCCTCGCCAGTTTTGCTGTCCAGCGGGCGCGCCTTGGAGCGCCGTGCGTGGTTGAGGGGTGCGTTGGCCAGTTCGCAGCGCAGTATAGATGGCGCTGACCGCCTTCGCAAGGAGTTGGGCGTGGCGCGGCCGTGCTCCGATCCTGCCCTCCGCGCCGTCTCCCGCTGCTCTGACTGTATCAAGCAGGCGCGCTCCCGTGGCATGGCGCGTTTCGCCCTGGGCCCTGGCCGCCGGTCGCTCTCGCCCTCGCTGGGCGTCCTCATCGTTGCCGAGAAGAGCGGGGTCCAGGCGAATGCGCATGGCGCGAGATGGGCCGGCCTCGACTTCGCCCCGCCGCCGCGCGGGCGACTCCAGACGTTGGCCGCCTTTCCCGATTCGTGTCGGCCGACTGTCGCCTCTGTCATTGCTGCGCGGGTGACATCCAGAACGCCTCCTACGCCGTCGACGCCCCCGACGAGCAGGGCGACGCCTTCAGGTTGGCCGCGGAGTTGGCGGGCGCGGCGGGCGGCCCAGCTTCGGAACGTTGCCCGGCCCGCCCCGGGGACCTGCTGATCCAGCGGCTCTCCGTGCGCCCGATGGGCTGGGGCAGGGCGCTTCGCTTCTGCCAGCTCGCGATCGAGGGGGGCGCCCGTTGTGGGTGCTTGCCCCCCGAGCGGCTGGTGCGACAGCGCTGCTGCAGTGCCGTTGAGCCCCCGGCCAGTCAGGGGGCTGCCGACGTCGATGAATTCTTGATTTTCTTTTTTTCCTGCTAGGCCGTCGCCGTGGCCGGGCAGCGGGTGGCATTCCCTTTCGCCGCCGCTGGCTTCGTCGTCCACGAGGAGACCAGCTTCTCCGCGCAGGTGGAGTTCGCGGGGCTCGCGCTCGCAGGGGGGCCGAGCACGCCGTGCGCGTGGCGCAGAAGCGGGCGTGGCGCCTGAAGGCAGCTTTGTCAGAGCTGCTCTCCAGAGGGCGCTGCGGCGAGGATGTCATGGAGATCCTCGTTGGCAACCTTGGGCATTTGACTTAGTTCGTGCTTCTCCCGCGTAGTGCCCTCGGCGCGCTGTCCAGAGTCTGCGCCTGCTTGAGGGGCGGCGAGGGGCGCGTTGTGGACTTGTGTCCGTCGGTTCGCCAGAGGCCGACGACGGCCGTGGGATGCCCCCGTTGCTGGTCGTCGACGCCGACGCCGACTGGCGGGGCGTCGCCGCGGCCGGCGGTGCCTCCCACTGGGGCTGCGGCGTTTGCCGCAGGCGCTGTAGGGCTTCGGGCGCTGCCGCGCGGCAGGGGCTGCCGCCGCGCGCGACCGTGCTTTCCTCGCTGGCGCTGGCTTAGATGCCTAGCCGCCCTGGGCTGGCTGGCCCCCATCAGCGCTGCCTCGGGCGACGCGTTCGACTCCCGGGACGACGTGCTGGGCGTCGCCGCCGGGCTACTGCAGGCGCGCGCGGGCACGTGCTCGTTCGACCTAGTGGGCGCCAGCTTCATGCGGCCGATGCGCTCGAGCTGGTCGTTCCCGTCGAGGCGGCCAGATGGGCCCCGGGCGTCTGCGGCTTGCTGCCAGCGCCCGCGGGGCTGGGCATCCCGAGGACATCCCGAGGACGACGAATCGGTGCGTGCGCCCCTGGCTCCAGGTCTCGAAGCTGCCGGCGAACCGCATCTGGATCTGCCCGCCAGGAGGCTTGTCGACGAAATTGGTCGGGGCCGCGGCAGGGCAGCAGCTGGCGCGCCCGGGATTCACGGAACGCGAACAGCGCCGCGGAGGAGCGTCTCGCGACGTCGTCCACTGCCCTCGCTGGAGGCGAAACTCGAGGGGCGAATGGCGTCGGACATCAACTTGACGCGTTATGCGAAGCAGACGCGCGTGATCGCGGAGCTGGGCCGAGCGCCGCGCGAGGTGGTGATGCTCGGCAGCCTCGTCCAGGTTTCGTTCCTCGCCGCGTTCGCAAACTCGGCCTCCCCGCCAAACCCGCCAGGCCAGCTCGTTGTCCGGGGGGCGATGGCAGCAGGCTGACCGACGGGCTGATTGCAGCCCGCCGGCGTTTTTCGATTGGGGCCGCGATGTTGGCCGCCCCCCAGGAAAACAAAGAAAAAATAGGAAGCCTGTGAGAGCCCCCCCCTCCTCCTCCCCCCCCCATCCGGTGAAAATTTAGCGCTTTCGGTATTTTGGAAGCGTCGCCTCGGCACCGGAGGGGCCCGAAGAGAGCGCTCGGGGTCGAGCCGTGTCTTGCTGAGATCTGCTAGCTCCCGCTAAGCCCTGCTGAGCAATGATAAGCCAGGCTCGCCCCCTGCTGAGCCCTGTTGCGCCCTGCCGAGCCCGTGCCGAGCCTTGCTGCTGAGCGCAACTGCGCTGATTGGCCCTGCTACTATCCCCTGCTGAGCCTTGCTATGCCCTGCTCGCTCCACTAAGCTCTACTGGGCCCCCTGCTAGGCCCCCTGCTAAACAGTGCTGCGCCCTGCTCGCCCCCTGCCGAGCCCTGCTCGCCCCTGCGAAGTGGCGCCCTGCTAATCCCCGTGGAGCCCTGCTAAGCAAATGCCAAGCCTTGCTTGTCCCGGCTAAGCTCTGCTGAGCGCTGTTAAGCGTTGTTATCCCCTATGGAGCCGTTTCCTAAGAAATCCTTCGCATGACTTAGGCATCCCAAGCCATTCCAAGGACTTCTTAGCATTTCCGTAGCGGGTCCTAGGAACTCCCCGACCATGTCCCAGGACATCCGTAGCATTCCCTAGGGAATGTTTGCAATTTCTGTTGGAATGCCATGGCATATCTAGGGAAATCCATAGTTCATAGCTCGCAGCTTAATAGTATTAGTATCATCATTATTTCCACGATTATACATATCAGTATCTTTACCATTCGTACCTCTCTCATTATTATTATTAGTTCCATTGTTGTTCTTTCCAGTCGTACCATGATCTTCCGTCTTTTTTTCATGCTGGCTAGTACCATAATTCATTGTATCCAGTATCATCATCATCATGGGTACCGTTATTATGAATATTATCATTGCTAGTTGTGATCATTACTCGTCGTATCACTAATACCATTGTCACCAGTATTATTCGTACCATCATTCGTCGCATAATTGCAATAGTTGTTGTCATCGCAGCATTATCATTTTTACGACATGGACTATCATTCGTAACATTACCGTTGATATCTTTATTTTCATTACCATCGTTGTTATCCTTAGTGCCATCATACCTACCTAGGTTCTCAACATATCATTTAACACATTTTTTTTCCTCTCTCCCCATAATTCGTACATTTATCCTTATGAGTATTATCGTTCGTACGTGTGTTGTTGTTATTTACATTGTTCTCCTGCTTGTTATCCTCAATATTCCTCTTCGTTCCATTATCGTTATAATCATTGGTCCAGTATCTTATGCTTCTTGTTTTTTATCGGACTATCTTATCATCATTATTTCTGTCTCTTCCCTTTACCATTATAATTACTCTTCTCAAACTTATCCTATATGTAAGTCTCATTTTTTGCATTGGTGTTTTCACTCGTACCCCTTCTCCAGTTATTATTCGTATTATTTGTATTATTCGGTGTACTAGTAGTATCAGGGAAGTTATTGCTTTTATTCTTATCAGTCGCTGCACTCTGCTTATATATATATATATATATGTATATGTATATGTATATGTATATGTATATGTATATGTATATGTATATGTATATGCATATATACATATATATATGTACATATATAGTTATATACATATACATATATATACATATATATATATCTCTTATGCTTCCTCTCATTATTCGTATTATTGCCACCATTATTTGTATTATCGTTTCTAGCGGGTGCTAAGATAACGCTTCGGTGCGGGGCGGGGGGGAATACCCCGGGATGGGCCACCCTCCAGGACGGCCGAAAAACATCCATTTCCAAAGAAGGGTTGGAACAGGAATCGCATAGGAGGAGGAGGAGGAGGAGGAGGAGGAGGAGGAGGAGGAGGAGGAGGAGGAGGAGGAGGAGGAGGAGGAGGAGGAGGAGGAGGAGGAGGAGGAGGAGGAGGAGGAGGAGGAGGAGAGGAGGGAGAGGAGGAGGAGGAGGAGGAGGAGGAGGAGGAGGAGGAGGAGGAGGAGGAGGAGGAGGAGGAGGAGGAGGAAGGGGAGGAGGAGGAGGAGGAGGAGGAGGAGGAGGAGGAGGAGGAGGAGGAGGAGGGGGAGAATCATAGCCCGAGGGATCAGAGGCGTAGCATTTCTTATTGCTTCCGTCGCATTCCCCACAAAATACGTAGATCTTTCTAGAAAATCCCTAGCATGTCTTAGGACAATCTAAGCATGTCCTAGGACATCCATATCATTCCTTTGGGAACTCTCTCGAATTTCCTAGGACATCCTTCGCATGTCATAGGAAATCCTTAGCAGTCCCCAGGACACACAACACAACACACACACACACACGCATACACACAGGCAATCCTTCGCTGGTCCGTAACATGTGCTAGGAAATGCACAGCATATCAAAGGCATCCCCAAGGATTTCTTCTTGCGCGTCGTCCGGCGCGCGACGTCCCACGGATTTTTTTTTTTGATTTGTGCGAGGTGCTAAAGATATCGCTCTGCGAAAACGGCCCCCTGGAAATATTGAATCCTGGTACGGTGCTAACAATAACCCCGGGGGGTTTCTTAAAGGCTTCTTTGAGTTAAATGACATATTTAATCGAACATTGTGCCGGTTCCGAGTAGTCCGGCCGCGGGGTCAATATATTGGGTTTTGGAATGAGTGCGGTTGATATTGTTTTTTTGTCCGTGCCTCGATTTTGGGCGACCAATGATCCAACGTGCCTTCCTCGGCTGGGTCTCCCCAGATTTGGTCCTGGTGGTTCGGCGCTCCTTGTGATTCCCGTTTGCATGCCCGCCGAAGAGGATGGGGATCATGACGGTGATAATCATGTTGATTGTGATGTTTTTGGTGATGGTGATGGTGGTGATGATGATGACGATGATGAAGATGAAGATGAAGATGAAGATGAAGATGAAGATGAAGATGATGATGATGATGATGATGATGATGATGATGATGATGATGATGATGATGATGATGATGATGATGATTATGTTGGTGCTGTTGATGATGCTGCTGCTGATGATGGTGATTTTGAGGATTGTGATGATTCTGAGGCTGCTGCTGATGATGATGATGATGCATTTGCTGCTGTTGCTGATGGCAACGGTGATGATGATCATGAAAAACATGCTGCTGCTGATGATGATGATGGCGATGATGATGGCGATGATGATGGTGTAGGTATGATGACGATTGCGATGATGATGAGGATGGAGAAGATGATGAGGATGATCATGATGATGATGATGATGATGATGATGATGATGATGATGGCAGCAGTGACGATTGTGATAATGATGGCGATGACGACTTTGATGATCTGCTGAAGATGATGATGGTGATGGTGATTGTGATGGTAATGGTGATGATGACGATGATGATGGTGATGATGATGGTCATGATGATGATGATGCTGGGGCTGCTGATGATGACGCTGCTCCTGAAGTTGATGATGATGCTAATGATGTTGGTGATGATGCAGCTGCTGCAGCTTTTGATGCTTATGATTTTGCTGGTGATGATAATGCTGCTGATGCTGATGAGGATGCTTATCATGATGAAGGTGATGGTGATGATGATGATGATGATTGTGATGAAGATTATGATCCCTAGTATGATGATGATGACGGCG